TAGGCCAGGAACTGTTTAAGCCCTGGGACTACAACAGAGAGGAAAGCAGATCTGATCTCTGCTGCCATGGAATTAGTTAGTTAGTTCCACAGAACTAATGATCTAGTGCAGGGGTCAGCTGACTATGTCCTGGGGCCAAATCTGGCCCACCATCTGTTTTTGTTAATATAGTTTTATTGGGATACAGCCACACCCATTCACTTGTAGATTGTCTGTGACTGCTTTCAGTAGTGGCAGAGTTGAGTCATTGCAAAAAAGTCTTTATGGCCCATAAAGCAAACTGTAAACTGGCAAAGTTTGCCAACTCCTGTTCTAGTGGTAAAGATAGAATAAGATCCCACTAAAATTAAACTTCCATCAGTAGAGAGTTTATTGTTACATCATGGAGTCATCCCATACATACATATGAAATCACTATTCTTCAAATATGCCTCATTTTTCTCATCATTCCCCATACGTCTGTCACTGAAAAGTTACACTATCTCGGCCTGTTATTCAAAGCCCTTGACCTCCAGTCTCCTCTTTCAGCCTAATCTACTGCCCTCACCCTCTGCACTCGTTCATGTAGGCAAATCTCACTGCAGAAGCCTCCCCGGAACTCACTACAGTTGCTTAGGCGTCCTGCCTGTGGATTCCCATAGTCCTCATTTTAGCCCTTGTCACAGTGTCATCTGCTTACTTGTCACTTGTCATCTGCTTACTAATCGGATCCCTCCAACAAACAGCAAGTTCATGAGGCCAGAAATGGGGTCTTATGTGCTTTGGAATCCTCAGTGCTAAGCACAGTGGCAGACACTTAGCATGTACAAATATATGACGTGGGGCAAAAGTAGGTTTACAGTTCATATAAAAATAATACAATAATTAATAGATATTAATGCAAGAATAAACTCTGTGTGTTGCATGCTCAGAACTGTAAACCTACTTCTGCCCCACCATGTGCGTGCGTGCGTGCATGCGTGCGTGTGTGAGTGTTTGGTTTAAATGAATTAATATCTATCTTTTTTTTTTCCTACTTTTTCCACTTTATGGACATGCCACCTCTATAGATCCTTCTCCAAAACCTACTCTTCTTCAGGACAGGGTAGTGTATATCATTACCCAAAGTGGAGAATAATGAAAAACGATTTGAGACTACATGTCACAAGGTTCTAAAGAAGCAAGGGAGGAAAGAAAAAGAAAAAGCTGTGCTTGTACAAAATCATCCTGACAAAAAAAAATCTTTTAAAATCTAATGTAAAAAAGTAGTATATGATATTTAAAAGTGATTTTCTAAATCTTTGTAGATATAGGGGGTTTCTTGAGAGCTAAAAATTCTAAGAGAAATCATATGAGGACTTATTTTGTTTATCATTTTTCAAATAAAATTATGGTATCTGTATTATTATATTGCTTAATGTGATTTAAGCTATATTTAACATAAAAATATTTTATCATGGCTATGACTGTCTATAATGCAATGAGATTTTGTTCTTAGCTTTGTTTTTTTCCCCCAGAAGATAAAAATGAACCACTAGATGGTGCAATCATCATGAAAAAGTCATCACATT